ATAATATTTCAGAAAACAAACCCCACCACGTTTCTGAGTACACATTAGTGTATCACTGGTAAAAATAAGACAATTTTTTATTTTTCCTCATGTGCCACGTATTCTCGATTTTGCTCGGTTTTAGTGGACATTGTCTCTTAAGTCGCTTCCAATTTTCAGGCCACTGGCCAAAAAGCCACTCGCAGCCAAAGACCGCACCGTAACCCAAACTACCAGCCGAATCAGTGTAGAGATTTAAACTGAACGAATCAGTCCATACGTCGCTAAGAAAAAACGATCGGCCGTTAAAATCATCTAAAAAGGAACGCCAAATTTCGAGATCCGCTTTTACCGATTTGGTAAGACGGATAAAATGATGCGCAGATTTTATTCCCTTCGTTAAATCGATCAGACGACGCAGAAAAGCCCTACCCGGGACAACGACTGAGCACGCAAAATTAAGTAAACCCGTCAATGATTGAATCTCGCGTAAAGTAACTTTTTTGCGTTGAAGAAAGGCTGAAACTAAAATTTTGCATTTCTCAGTTTTGTCCAGAGGCAAACGGGCCTCCATGCGTAAACTATCTAATTCAATGCCTGCGAACGAAAGGATATTTTCCGGACCGACTGTTTTCTCTGGCGCCATTGGTACGCCTAAGTAATCGCAGAGAGATAAGAAACGAGCAAGGTCAATGCGACATTGGTGATAAGTAGGCGCTGCCATAAGATAATCATCAAGAATGTGGATTAAATACGGGATTGACAAGTGTTTCTTAGCAACCCATTCGATAGCAGTGCTAAACATCTCAAAAGTACGACAGGATGACGCACATCCCATTGGCATAGCACGATCATAATAATACTGTCCCTGCCAAAAAATTCCTAAAAGATCGTAATCAGATGGTTTGATTGGGATAATGCGAATATCATAGCAACCGCATCATCAACACGAGCATACTGTACTGACGCATGCTCTTGTGCAATCCCATCATTAACCGAATCACCTCTGGGAAAAGACAAATGATGAATTAAGCGATATTCCCCCAGGGCTTTCTTAGGAACAACCCCCAAGGGTGAAACACGAAATTTGGGAAAAGGCGGGAAATCGAAAGGCCCGGCAAGTCGACCGGCTGCCAATTCTTTCGAGAGTTTAGCACTAACTATCTCAGGATTTTGTTGCGCAGAAATTAAATTATTTGCAAAAAATGAGGTTCGCGTTCCTTCAAAATGAAGAGAAAAACCAAACTTAAAACCAGTATACAAAATAGATGTCAATCCCGGATCATATCCACATAATAAAGGTTGAAGATTATCAATTCGAACCGGTGTTGGAAGGACGAGATTTGGCCGAGGTCGGGGCAGAGGTGTGCTGTGAGGAACGAAAATTACACTGTAGGGCTGGGTGAATTACACCACACTTGTAACAATTATGTTTATAATTGCAACCAGAGCAGTGATCGCCACGGTGAAACCTGCGACAAAACCCCCTGGGAACAAAGGGCCCGGCAATTGAAGAGGACAAGTTGTTGCGCACAGGCGGTTGAGATTTTGAAAAACGCGCATTACTATTAAAATTCTGTGCACGGATCCAAAGTTCCCAATGCGTAAACCCCCATGGCAACTCGGTCGGATTAGATTGACGCAAGAGACGAAATTGTGAGTCATAAAAGCGCCAGTCAGCCCCTCGCACGGCCAAATCCCGGACAACTTCACTATATTTCATCAATGCTGGGGCCTCCATTGGATATTTGGCAGTGTACACCCCTACAAAAATTTGAAAAGCCGAAGTCCATGCACCAATGTTAGCAATGGCTTTCGGCTTTTGGGACGGTTCCAAAGACAACGTCGGCAAAGCTGAACCGTTTTGGGAGCTCACAGACAAGTGATACCGGGTATCACCTGCCCCTGAGCTAATTAAAACACCAAAATCGACGAATTCGTGAGACCAAATCTTGGCCTTAACTTTTGCGCTCACATTCGCATCAATGGGTACATTGATGGAATTAAATTTAGGCAGACCCGGCACTACAGGCGGTGAGACTTGGATAAAACTAGTCTCACCTGAAAGATTATTTAAGGCAGACGCTACCGGCCCCTGCATAGTAGCGTCTGCAAAACTAGCTATACCTGACGCTACCATAGGCAATTCCCTTGTTTCCACAGCTGAAGATGGCGGCGGAAGAGTAGTGGCGCAGGCTCCATTGAGTGACGCTAGCACAGCTTGGGAGACGGCGGAGACGATCCGTTGAACCGTTTCGTTAGGAACAGTCGTCGCTGGCGATGCTGCATCAGGTGCTGACGTTGTGGCCACGGAGGAAGACGCCTCACAACTAACTCCACTTGACTCTGGTTGCTGCATAGTGGTGCATGGCACTGGCGGTTGCTGTTCTTCTCCGAGAGGATGGACGACGTGGTGCTGCTGGTTGTGCACGACGTTGAACTCTTGTGCTAGGTCGAGTAGCAGGCATTCTGAAAGAAAAAACTAAAGACCGAAGACTTTGCTTAACGGGGGCCACATCAGGCCCTGGAATATTAGACAAGAGGAATTTTGGAAAATAACAGAAGTCATATTGCACAACCATTTACATATTCATGCAACGGTGACAAATAAAACAACATATAAGCAGCAGAATAATCATGGCATACAGCGAAGGTAGCCGCAATTGATTATCCTTTAACGCCGCAAAAAATAATATACAAGGGCAATCTGAAAACAACATGCCGCACCGTCCCACAATATATTGACAACAACTGTGGGCATCTGAAAACAATAATTGCTCTATCCCACTTAGACATGCATTTTTTCCTTGACACAGGATCGGCAAGTCATATATACCTACAACTATAGAAAAGACATCTTATATACAACACAAGGAAACTACAAGAACACTCCACACACATGAATCAAAACAGATACATAAACTATTAAAGAAGCTGCGAATTGTACGTATATATAACCAGCGAAAATCATGAATATGTCCTGTGTAGAAAAAAAACAATGTTGAAGTCTCAACGTGGGCATCTGAAAACAGTCATGTTGCTCTAGCCCATATAACATAAACATATAGTAGTGGTACATAAACGGCAACTACATACATAGGGGTAAATATAAAAGAGTATATAATATAGTGCACCATAATTATCAAACAATTATGCAATAATAATGTCTGTACCAACGGCGTAAAATGAACACATATTGGAGCTAAGGACTATAACATGGTGAGAGCTTTCAAGATGGCCCCACGATAGCTACGGTATAAACAGTATTGTCCCTGTGCATTACAGTGCACACCATCTGAGGACAACAAGAGACGATCAGGGTGAGAAAACTCCCTATGTTCCCACACAAAAATGCCTTGTTCCTCAGCAAGGACAACAGACAGGTACTGGCGTAAAAGAGCGGCTTTGGTATTAAATGCATTATCAGGTGCCTGAGTGCGAGGCAGATTCCGATTAATCACTTGGCAAACAGCAACAACGCGAACTTTATACTGATCGCGCAGAACGTGCACAAGATCATCGAGTTTCGACCCCACTACTTCAGGGGTGTGACCCGACAAATTGTTAGTGCCCATTTCGAGAATCACGATATCGGGCTTATACTTTTTGACCCATGAGAGATCATATTTAAGCAATTTATCTACGGTTCTGCCAGCCGTACCCAACAAAGAAACATTGCCCGATTCGGGTAGATGAAAATTAGGGGCAGCGCGTAAATCAAAGTGCGCTTCCAGGTCGTCCCGTAAACGACGGACAAAGGAATGCCCGAGAAGTAAAATAGTTGGAACACACCCAGACATTACAACTTTCAGATATAAAATGAAAGAAAATTTACCTGATGGAAAAACTTGACTTTAAAATACAGATGACTTTGCGCTACCAAAGCGAAGAGCAGAATGAACCAGATGCACATTCTGCTATAGATATGTATCACCTCTCCCTTCCGTTTTCATGCACGCATTACATTCATGTGATCAGAAAATTACGGGGAAAATACCCATATGTCCCATGTCAAGTTTGTCTATTTATATATCCTAAGCTCAGGAAGCAATACAATCTTCATTGGTATGCCAATAATTCCTTTTTTACCCAACCCTAGGAAAAATATTGTTTATTAAATGTGTTTATTATAAACACTGCATATTGACAAACCCATAATTTGTTTACTGTATTGGTCATTGTAAATCCGACAAAGCCCAATTTCCAGCATATTGTCATGAACTGGATCATGAGTTTCAGATTCATCTCTAGTCTCAAACTCCTAAACCCCAAACTCTTACAAAACAAGATCCTGCTCGCTTTCTCCAACTCCATCACTGTCATTGCTCCTCTGGTCTGTGTGTAGCTGCTCCAAAGCATGTTCATAGTAGACCTGGCAATGCTGACATGACTCTTCCGTAATACATCTGCTGTGATTGCACTCTATTTATCCTTTTTCTTGCCTTTCTTGCTCAAGTTCAGTTGTGTTTATTAAATATATGTACTTTACTACTTGTCCAATTCTTGAAAGATCAACATGGTCATAATATCGACGACACCCGAAGTTTATCCGACCGGATTCCGAACGCGAATCCATAAAAACAACATGGCTGAAGAAAACGAATTTGAAAGCTTTCTGAAGTCGTGATTTTTTCCTGTGCTGGTGTAATTATAGTGAAGTCGGTTATTAATCTGGCTGAGGGGTATTTGGAAAGATTTAAGGATACTGGTTTCAACGATATTGAGCTTAATAAATCACTAGAATCGGGGGAACAGATGCAGATGTTTGACCTGAATACCTGATGGATTTTATCGGCAAAACCCGGGCATCTGCTGAAGTTTAAGAAGGCTCTGGCTACATATTCTCGCAATCCTGACAATCCAGCAACAGAAGGAATTGAAAATAGTGTTCAAAACCCTGTAGCTCAGAAGAAGGTTAAAAAAAGTATGATTATTACTCATTGTTGTGTTCTTTGCATTCCCAAGTCTAAAATGGCTAGTATGTATCCAAAATCCAATGTGTTACTTGGAATTTTAGCCTCATGGTTCTGAATCATTTTCATATATATCTTTCCAGTAAAGGACTACGTCAGTATATGTGTGAATGCAACTACCACCAAGATTTATTTCAGCTAGAGGATGTGTGCAAGAGCCAAAGAGCATTAGACCACATTAAGACCAGTATCAACAAAATTAATAAGGTCAAAGGTAAACTATTATTAAATCGCAAGAAAGAACTGTATGGGGACAACCTAGAGCCCAAGAAGTGGGCAAGCAATGAAATTGCTTTTGTTCAAGCTATGACAGCCCAGACAGGTGAAATGCTGAAGGAATCGGAGGAAATTGCTAAATAATGATATTGAACACATAAACAATCAGTTAAGGAAAAGGTTGGATGCTGCCTCTGTCGACGACTGAAGGCAAAAAAGAAAAGGAACATTGTGGCAGCCAGATGTAAAGTATACCTCGAAAGTGACATGTCAAGTGATGATATGCCAATTGACATTTTAGATGATTAAACTGTTTTTATTGTTTTTATAGGGTCTATAAAAATTAGTTTACTTTTATATTAAATAAATAAATAAATGCTGCAAATTTTTTTTTACCCAACCTTTAAGAGCTGTAAAATTTTTTTTACCCAACCATTATGTCTTAGAATTTTCAGTTACCCAACCATTTTCTCTTTGGCCCCAACCCTGGGTGTAAATAATGACCGGTTTCTGACAGACTTGGAACTTGATAATTTCCTAGCACGATTTTACGCCGGACTACGAAAGGACGATGGCCATTTATACTCAACAACATCCATGCACGGCCTTCGCTACGGTATTCGTAATCATTTCCAATCGCTCAAAGGTATCGATATTACTAACAATGAGCAATTTGTGCAAAGCAACAGAGTGTTTCAAGCAATGTTGGTAAAGCTCAAAAAGGTAGGCAAAGGAGTTGTGAAACATAAAGATCCCATAAGCAAAGAAGACATGACCAAAATATTATCGTTTTTGGATTTAAATTCACCACAAGGTTTGCAGGACAAAGTCTTTATTGATATTATGATGTATTTTGCAAACAGAGGAAGAGAAAATTTACGAAATATGAAAATTACTGACTTTGTTATCCAGAAAAACGAGCAAGGTCTGCAGTATGTAATTCATCATGATGTACTCACAAAGACAAGGCGAGAAAATAACGAGGGATACAGTGGACACATGTATGAGATTCCAGGTTCATCGAACTGTCCTGTTGCTTCATTCCTAGCCCTAAAGGACGTTTTAAACCCTGCACAAGAGTGCATGTGGCAGAGACCTAAATCTCAAGTGCCATCAGAAGGACCGTGGTTCACAAATGCACCTTTGGGAGTCAACACTCTTGGTAACAAGATGAAAAGCATCACTGAGAAAGCTGGCTGCTCTTTGATATATACAAACCACAGTTTAATGGCCACAACTGTTACTGTTCTCGATGAAGCAGGAGTTGCAGGTCGTGATATCATGTCTGTCACAGGACATAAGTCTGAGTCATCCCTCAAGCATTATGTTCGTACTAGCAATGCCAAGAAGCAAGACATGAGTACCATCATTTCATCTCAAATGCAAGAAAATATTCCAGTGGCTAGGGAGGAACCTGCTGAAAGTATTTTCGACGATCTAGTATTAACAGACTCACAAGAACAGTTTCTATTCAGTGAATCTAATTTAAACATTCAGAGCTCCTTGTCATCAACCACACAACACTTCCACTTCCATGGTCCTGTTGTCTTTAACAACAAGTAAAAAGCATGACATTTTACCATTATTAGTTAAATTACACTGTATTTATCATGTTTTGAATGATTTGAAACATTCATTTTCTGTTATATTTATTTGTGTGTATTTATTTTAATTAATATGAAATGGTGCATTATTAAACTGTTCTTGAAAAAGCAATATTAGTCTATTTTGGTATTATATAAAACAAATAATAAATGTTTTTATTTGTGCAATGGTAAGAATATTTTCATTCGGTGAAAGATGGAATGTTCCATTCAACTCGGCTGTCGCCTGGTTGAATGGAACATTCCATCTTTCACCTCATGAAAATATTCTTACCATTGCACTCATAAACATTCATTATTTGTATACTATTATAAGCCCGATCTTACTATACAACTCTGAAGTATGGGGGAAATACATGAAAAACAATTTCAAGCTGATTGGAGTGCCATTGGCTTGGGGAAAAACAATAGTTCCGACTTGTGTGAATTTGTGGTCAATATAGGTCAATCAAACACCACCTACAGTATATTTATTTTTTCAAAGCAAAATATACATCATTGCAATAAATAAAATTTTATATATTGTTTTCAATTAATATTTAATATTTTTCAATTAACAGTGAAATACAGAAACAAAATATACATGTACATATAATTGCAATACAATTTTATATATTGTTTCAATTAATCTTTTGACAAATCGTGAAATGCAGAAGCAAAATATACATGCATAATTGCAACACTATTATATGTCTTGTTTTCAATGAATGTTTTGACAAATGCAGTTTATTGTTGTGCTTTGCTTTGCTTTGCTTTGTAGTTATGTGAATGCAACGATGATGGAGCATTTAAAAGTGCCATAATGTTAGACAAGGTTTTTAACATTCTTGAGAAAGTGGGCTATCGCGGAGTGCCAATCAAGGGAAACTTTGGCCTCCAGAGATGCGAGGTAAATAATACTTGACTTTTGAGATACATATAATGTTGAAGTATATTAACAGGAGATTGGATGATATATATTGCATTATATGTTCATGCATTTTAAATCTTGTTATTTATTTTGATATAATGATATTTTGTTTTGTCACTGTGACTGATAGTGCAACATTCAGAACACTCCACATACAAAACTGACAAACGGAACAAAGTCGGAGGGGTCTATTATTATTCATTGTGATGTTATCAATTATAATTAACAATTTGATGATGAGCTCAAGATTTCTACGAAGTGATAGTTGAATGGACCAATAGATAACGACTTTAGTAGTGTAACCAATCAAAATGCAGATTTGCATTAGAAGTTTAGAACTCAACCAAGTTTTTACTAATTGTCATTAGTAGTCCTTAGTAGAATCATACTAGTATACTATTGCAACTGCTGTAATTTGATTTGCTGCTCTACTTGCTATCTATTGGTAGATAGCGAGTAGCAAAACAATAATTTTCCCAACTCCGGAATCTGAGGACAAACCTGATTGTTTACTTGAGATTGTACTAAAACAATTAGATCACTCGCTCTCAATTTCCGAGTTGATAATTGATTCGGGTTTCGCCCTCATAAATATCTCAAGCTCGTAATCTAATTGTTGATTAGCACTAAAAACGCACTCGAATTCTAATAAAAATGCTGCATTCTGATTGGTTACACCACCCACTATCTAGTCGTCACTACACATGATCTATTTGAAACAGCCATCTCGGCAGAATTTTTCGTAATTTTTATTACAAATAACATGTAAAAAAAGTTTTGTAGCCAATGTAGTTTTCCTACCGGTTTTTACTAAATTGTCTGTTCACTCTTGATTGCTATGAAGTAATAGTTAATTCGGCCTTCACCCTTGTCGACTATTTCCTCATAGAAATCTTGAGCTCATAATGTAATTGTCAATTAGAATATTTTTTTATGTCACATTTATTGGGTAAATTGTTATGTATGAATTTAGCTAAAAATGCTCATGTTAGATAAAGTGGTGGAGGGTGTTTCCAATTGAGCAAAACCACACACAATCCAGTAGAGATTTTCATAATATATTTAATACATTCTAGAATGATTGGGTTTTGATTAGATTACATTCAAAATGATTAGACGGATATTGAATACCTTGATTACAACTAAACAATTTACAATACCTGAAGAGTGGGTCTCCACTGATTGATAAACTCTTGATATACTTCAGCTCTCTATACGCTCTCGCACACTGTCTCAATATCTCAATACGATACTTGCCTTCGATACTGTCTGGATACTATTACGTCATGCACATTTGTCAACACTTAATCACTAATTCAATCGGTTACCATGCAAATCAAATAGGTTAAATCAAATAGAATCATGTTAAATCAAACTAAAGTTATAAATTATTAATCATCTTCAAATAGTTTGTAAACTGTCTGATCCAACCCTCCGGCACGACACGATTAGGAGGAATCTTCTTCCAGGATTGGACAACACTTCTGGACTGACCGCTGATATTCTCCAGAGTTCGTTTTCAACCTCGCATTCCGAATGACACCGTCTTGTCCCGGATAGACTTTGACAATCCGTGCTAAGTTCCATTTTCCTCTCGCTGCGCTCGTGTCGGCCACTAAAACGATATCACCGACCTTGAACTGTCGTTCCTTCGTCTTCCACTTCGCTCGTCGCATCAGGCTTTGCAGATACTCGTGATGGAACCGATTACAAAACTGTCAAACTAATGCTTGGACGTACTCAAACCTCTTTCGACAATTCTTGACTTCTCAAAAGGGACCTCGTGGGACTTCGGCTGTCGCACGACCAAGGATGAAGTGGTTCGGGGTCAAAGGTTGGATATTGTTCGCGTCGTTGGAAGGGTATCCAAGGGGGCAGCTGTTGACAAGGCATTTGACTTCGCTTAACACAGTTGACATCTCGTTTCATGTCAACACTTGCTCTCCCACGTAACACTTTCTTTGTTTGCTTGATCATGCTTTCGAAGAATCCACCTTGGTGTGGACTCAAAGGAGTATTGAATTTCCATCTTACTTTATGTACCATCGAACATTCTTCAATTCGTTTCTTTCCGTCTAGTAGCAATTTCTTTAACTCTTTCTCGACATGCGACATTTTTCATGGCAAGCAACATTTTGATTCAACTGTTTTATAACGTAAATATTTCCGCGCGTATTCACCCCCTTAAAAACAAAGAACACCATTGAAATCCTAGCAAAATAAGCTTCATCGGGGGGTCTAATGCCATCAAAACAAATACACAAACTGAAACAATCATATATTTACTCACCGTGTGGCCAAACATTCTGTATTTTCATATGGAGAAAAAGTTGAATATTTTCTAAACTTTTAAGTTAATAAGTTAATATTAGTGAAATATTCCTTGTATTCAAGCGCTTTTATGTAGAAAGTTTTGTTTGAATACGGCGAGTAGAAATGTTTATTTGGATTTTTTTAGAATATCGGGTTTCATCGGGTTTTTACTCGCACACGCGTCCTGCATGTAAAATTGGCCAATAAGGAGTATCCGTAGCCCCAATGCACGTGAAAATCATGCTGCAGATGTAATTTGACCTTTAGAATCGATTTCCGATGTTTTCCGAGCGCTAGGATGTAAACACGCGATGTTTGGGGCGATCTACAGCGTATTTCCGGTTAAAAATATCCCGCTGATTTCATTAGTTTCGCAACAGATTGAAATACGGAAATAAAAGACGAACAACTAAGGCTACAAGCCTGAAAATAACACTTTCAATAGTGTTTTGGATTCTGTTTCGAATAAGACTATACTGAAAACGATATCTCAAAAGGGGCCAAAGTTATGTTCGGCGAAAGGTATGGATAGTTTACATTGTTCGAGACAATTGATTAATATAAATATGACACTGCTTGACCTGTCAAAAGGACATAAATAGTTATACAATTTCGCTAAAACTATATTTGACTAAAACTATCGATAGGTATTAGGAGATATTGTTTCACTGAATCGAATGGTGGTATTTTCATCTACATAGCGTGCACCAAACTGGAAATATGAATCGACAAAGTGTCATAGTACGTGCACATACTACGTTAATAGGGGCCTGCTTTTAAAGAGTTAACTCTCTTTCACAGCCAACGAATGACGTTCCGTTATCTGAAATGATGATGCTGGGCCATCTATGGTGGGCTGCAAACCGTCTCAACGCGTGGAGGAAAGCTTCAGTTGAACAATTTCGAGATGTATTGCACGAACTGTGGCACATGTAAAGAGGGTGCCCCAAGCCTTAATCTTCTTATTTCGTCCATACCTGAGATAAAACGGACCAAACAGGTCGACACCTGTCACTGAGAAGGGGGTGAAAAGACTTTCAGCCTTTCAGGTGGTAGATCTGCCATCAACGTCTTGTATGGGTACTGATGGAGTTTGCGGCAGGTGACACACTCTCTCACGATCTTTTGAACTAAATTTCTTCCACTAGGGATCCAAAACTTTCTTCGGGTTTCGCAAAGTGTTCTCTCGCAACCTGCATGGCGCACAAGGTTGTGTGCATCCTTGATGACTAACTTTGAGATGTGGTGTTCGGTTGGCAATAACACAGGGTGGTTATTGTCGTAGGATAACGGGGAATGCTTTAGTCTGCCTCCAACTCTGATCACTTCTTTCTCGAATGGTGCTAATTCTTTGTAACGTTCCTTCCAGTCTCCTAACTGCTCTTGAGCCGATAAGATCCAGTAGCGCTCTGCTGACTCGATTTCTTCTGGAAGAAGCACACCATGTACTCGTTTCGACGCCTTCACGTTGTTAACAAACCTAAAGCAGTAGGCAGTAACTCTGCACAATTTTCGCCAGTTTGAGAAACGGGAGGGGTCGACGATGGTATTTGTTGAAGGTCGCCGCCAAGTGAACATGGGTTTGGTAACTTTGATTTCGGGTACATTGGGTGGTATTTCGTTGCTTTCGGAAGGCCACATTTCGGAACCGCCTTTGAGGAACGAAGGACTGTTCATCCAACACTTGTTAATCGTTGTGACGGGAATACCTCTGCTAAGGTCGTCTGCAGGGTTTAGGTCAGTCGGGACATATCTCCAAGTGTCAGATTCCCACGTTGCTTGAATCTCTACTACTCTCACGCCTACAAACAGTTGAAGTGAGGTCGATTGTGAATGGAGCCAAGCTAGGACAATCATCGAGTCTGACCACAATATCACCTCACTGGATTTGATTTTAAACTTGTCATACACGGTCTTCGCTAGCCTTGATGCCAAAAAAGCTGCCATAAGTTCCAATCGGGGTATGGTGGTTTGACGGAGGGGTGCAACTCTCGCTTTGGCTGATATGAGACAGACTTGTATTCCATTTGCGCGTGACCAAACAAGGTAAGCTACGGCTCCATAGGCAAGGATGCTCGCGTCAGCGAATACGTGTAACTCTGGTAAACCAAGTGAATCTTTGGGTTGTGTAGGGACCTTGGAAACTGTATGCTGGTCAAATCTTCTATTTCGTCGAACACCTTCGCCCACGCCAGTTGTAACTTGGTAGGCAACGGGTCATCCCAATCAATATTTTTCATCTTCCAAATTTCTTGAAGCGCTATTCTCTCATTTATTGTGACAGCAGTGGCCAAACCTAGTGGGTCAAACAATCTCGCGATGTTCGAAAGAATCGTTCGCTTTGTGTAGACGTCTGTTCGTTTGAATTTAATTTGAAAGTAGATAGTATCTGCGTTTGGCTTCCAGGAAACACCATAGATAGTATCTGCATTTGGCTTCCAGGAAACACCAAGGGTTTTGACGCCCTTTTCTTTGTCTAAACTAACATCGTTTGCTTCATGCTTCTCTTCTTCCTTTCCAGGAACTTGATTGGTCGGATGGGGATTTGTATCAATGGGCCTTGTTTCTTTCTTGTTTCCCTCTGTAGTTGTTTCTTGCAATTGCTTGGACGAACAATGCCATTCTTTAATGTTGAAGCCACTTGCGTTGAGGATCTCATCGATTTCTCTCATCCTCTGAATGGCATCTTGTGTTGAAGACACAAATGGATTAAGTCGTCCACGTATCTATCTCGCTCTAGGATCTTTGAGGCTTCAGGTGCACTCTCTTTGTTCTCTTCTGCAATCTTCAGCATTACGAAGCTCACCATGTCTGGGGAGGGTTTGTCACCGAAGGTTACGCGAAGGAGGGAATAAATCGATGGCTCTTGTGTTGTGTCAATGACTCTCCACAGAAACCGATGGACGTGGCAATAATCTCCTTCAGGTAGAAGAATCTGCAGGAACATCTTGGAAATGTCACCAGCGAACGCGATTGGTTCTTCTCGAAAACGAAGCAGGACTCCCAACAGATTTCCGATGAGACAAGGACCTTTATACAAGAATGAGTTAAGCGAAACTCCTTTATACAGGCAGGCTGGATCAAACACAATTCTCAAAGGCGCACGTTTCTTTTCTGGACGATATATTCCGTGATGTGGTAGGTAATAGACAGGACCTTTGTAATCTTTTACTTCTTCTTCGTTCAATTTCCGTGCCCATCCGTTCTTCTTGTACTCTTCAATAGCATCAGTGTAGGTCTTTGCTTGAACTGGATTTTTCATTAGACGTCTTTCTAATGCCTCAAGACACTGCTTGGCTAAAAGGTAGTTGTTAGGAAGCTGGGGAGGATCTTTCTTCCACGGAAGACAAATGACAAATCGCCCGTCTAGCCTTTCGCAGGAGGATTCAAACAGTTCAACTGCCCTTTTTCCATCTTGAGACATGGTTTCTTGAGGGCAGGTGCAGTCCGGTGCACAAATTCCTAGGGTCTCAAAGTCGTAAAACCTGTCCAGATCGATTTTCTTGGCAAAGTTTAAGTAACTGGGAGTTGATTCTTTCGCGTTGTCTGGACCAATCACATGCCATCCGAGCTTTGTCTTCTTGCCGACAGGTTGAAATGGCAGGCCTTGTCGAACTTCACTTTCAGCATGGAGATGACAGTACTGGACCCTGAGTATTAGGTCAATTGGACCGGTGCTGTGAGGGAACTCAATATCACTGAGGTGGTCAAACGACTTTAGCCAGGTGCGGTCGAGGGCTGGAACATTAATAATTGTATGGTCGATTTCATGTGCTTCGACTGGGTATGACTCATTCCCGTTTAGGGGGGAGATCCATAGCTTAACTCTACGACTGTCCCTCTGAGTGATCTTTTTACCGCCGACGACTGCTATATCGATTTTTTCTTTTCTTCCTTGAAGACCGAGAGCTCTTGCGAATTCTTTATGGATCACGGTGGTGCCAGTGCCACTGTCAACAAGAACATTTCCTTCACGAGTTTTCCCGTTCGCAGACCTAAACCGAACCCTCACCACAGGCATGATACTGTCCTTATCAAGAGCAGATGTTGCTGAACTTATGCGTGGAGCAGGTGATTTTGGCAAGGATCCTCCATGAAGTAGGCGGTTGTGGGAACACGAACATCCATCTGCGCCACACCTTTCTTTCGATTTACAATCTTTCGTTACGCGACCTCGATTTAAACAGGAGAAACACAGTCGCTGGTTTCTGGCATGCGGAATTACATGCTAAATCTTGCGATACACCACCGTCCGATATAATTGTGTTATTACCACTTATTACCTCTTCGTCCCCAACTGCCGCCTCTTGAAGCGCAGCTTCCCCAGGCATTTCATGAACAGGTTTTCTACAGGGCTAGTATTACTGCTTGCTGGCTGCTCGAGAATCTGTTCGTTATTTGAAGACGTTGAGTTAGCGTGTTCATGTAAAAGGGGAGACTGAAGAAAGTCTTTGCGCTTTCTTCGACGTCGTAGAAATCACTTGTTAATGTGTCTTCCCAATCGTCCATTGTTGACGCTTGGCTTTCGTCTGTGTGTTCGTACATTTCAGCATGACAATCACGCGCTAACTCAAAGTCCTTACGTATTTGCACTATCTCCTTCTCAATTCTCTTGCGCATCTCCGCACAGAACTTGTTTCCGATTGAGCAAAACCACACACAATCCAGTAGAGATTTTTGTGATATATTTAATACATTCTAAGAATGATTGGGTTTTGATTAGATTACATTCAAAATGATTAGACGGGATATTGAATACCTTGATTACAACTACACAATTTACAATACCTGAAGAGTGGGTGTCCACTAATGGATAAACTCTCGATATACTTCAGCTCTCTATACGCTCTCGCACACTGTCTCAATATCTCAATACGATACTTGCCTTCGATACTGTCTGGATACTATTACGTCATACACATTTGTCAACACTTAATCACTAATTCAATCAGTTACCATGCAAATCAAATAGGTTAAATCAAATAGAATCATGTTAAATCAAACTAAAGTTATAAATTAATCATCATCTACAAATAGTTTGTAAACTGTCCGATCCAGAGGGTTTGCGTTCGTTTGGGATGTTTGGATGTATTAAGCAGAATGCCAAACTACTAGAACAAGTGTTCACAAGTTCTGCCACATTCTCGGTCCATGCTGAATTGTTCCTCGAAAATATAGTTGGAAACGTTTATCATCAGCACTCTGCATAAAGCAAAATCGACAGGTTGCTTTGTTGGCTTTGGAGAAGAATTCCATCTTTATGTTTTTAGCATTATCCCTTTAGTAATGGGTGTTATCGTTGTTGAGGTCTTCTGCTTTTGCTGGCTTCTTCATGCACATGAAAACTTTTCCTTTACGTTTCTTGGATTGAATTTATCTAGAGTTTCTCCTGAAAAACCTGTTAAAAGCTGTAGTTGCACTTTTGATTATTCTCTCAACAACACTCATCAACCTGTGGTTTGCAGTGCTCAAAAGATAATTTTTTGACCCTTCTATTGGCATACATTACTAAATTATGTCTTCTGGCACAATTATTATTATTATTTAATCTTCTTTAAAAACGATGGTAGTCCTTCAGCATAGATAAGAGCTGTTTTCCAAGGGGCCGTTGCACAATACATATTTACAAAAAAAGTTGAGTTAATAATTACAATTAGTATGTAGTTACAAATTACACATTACATATTACACAGTACACTACATAATATGATAAGACTTAAGTATTATGTTGAGGTCTGTCCCGAAGCAAGGTTTTAAATGCGTTTAATGACAAGCAATTGCTTTTCAGTTCTATTACACCTGAATAGCTGATGCTTTTTTTAAAAAAGTTTGTTTTCGGCTTTTCTAATTTATAATTGATATTATTTCGTAAACTATAATTGTTATTATTTTTAACGACAAACAAGCTAGATATATTTTCTAAGTATTCACCATTCGTAACTTTATGCATAAATATCACCTTATTATTACCCCATCTTTCCATCAATGGCTGCCATCTTAATTCTTCTAATATATCCTTAGATCTGACATCATATGATTTACCAGCTACGACTCTTGCAGCCCTGTTTTGCAGTTTTTGGAGTTTTCAAGCGAATATGCATTTCCTGTATCCCAAACCAGGCTGCAATAGTCAAAGTGGGGCAAGATAATTGAATTGTATACAGAAATAAGGGTTGATTGGGGGTACAAAAGCTTTCATTCATCGAATCATTCTTATGTCTTTTGATTCTTAGGTGGCAACCGTATTTATATGTGAATTCCATTTAAGTTGGTCATCGACAATAACACCTAAAGTTTTTGTTTCTGAAACTTTTTTTATTTTATTGTCTCCCAATTTAATTTCAGTTTCATCATCTATTTTGCCTAGTCTCTGTCTGGAGCCAACAATCATGCATTCAGTTTTACTCGTATTAAGTGTTAATTTGTTAGCCAACAACCATTGATGTATATTTCTAAATCATTATTTAATTTATTGTACAACTCAGTTGATATGCTACCACTCGCTGTCAGATTAGTGTCATCTGCAAACGTGCTGGCTGTTGTTGATTTTAAACAATTTGGCAAATCATTTATGTATAGCAGAAATAATATTGGCCCAAGATTAGAGCCTTGTGGTACTCTGCAAGAAACTGTTTGACATTTTGATGTTGTTTGGTTAACTTTACACATCTGTTTTCTATTCGTAAAATATGATTTGAACTAATTTAAAGTATTACCAACACAGCCAAACTTTTTTAATTTTTCTATCAAAATAGAAACACAATCAAAGGCCTTTTTTAAGTCAAGAAATATAATGCCATTTAAAAGTCCTTTGTCCATATTTATATACCACTGATTCGTATATGGTAAGGAGAGAAGTTACAGTTGAACTTCTCTTCCTAAAACCAGCTTGACACTCTGACAGCAACTGATAGGTTTCTAGATATTCCATGAGTTGTCATGAAACTAGTTTTTCAAATACTTTAGCAACTACAGATATGACCGATATTGGTCTGTAGTTGCTACATTCTGTCTTACTTTCTCCCTTATATATGGGGATATGCACGCCACCTTTAAATCGTCAGGTAAAACGCTGGTTTCTGTCAACTTATTAAAAATAACGGTAAGTGACTCAGCTATAATATCGGCACTATCCTTTAAAAGTTTTGGCGATATTCGATCATGTCCAGTTGCCTTAGAAGTATTAATTTTCGAAATTACGTTTTTGACATTGATGAAAATCTATTAATTTGAAATGATTTATCGGTAGGGACGACATACGTTTCAAATGAATTATTGCCTTTTGGTAGATCTTTAGCCAAAACAGTACCAATCTCATTAAAATAGGTATTCAAGGAATCGGCTATTTTCTCTGGTTCTGTTACAATTTCTTGGTTGATTATCAATTCATTAATATTTGTCGTCTTAGATTTTGTATTTGTTAATTGATTTATAGTTTTCCACATTGTTTTCGGGTCTTTTCTAGACTGGTTCAACGCTTCATTATAATACTTGGCCTTGGTAGATTTTATCAAACTATTTAATCGATTTCTAGTTTTTTTATATGCATTAAAGAAATGAGTAGATCCAGTTTTGATGGACTTTTTCTTTAAAAAATCCCTGTCATAGATTTTCTTTTTAATTTCCGATGTTAACCAAGGGGAATGCTCACTCTGCACTCTCCTTGTAACTGGACGGGCCATGCATATCCGCCACTAATAAAAATTTTCTTTTCCAGTCCTCCCAAGGTATGTTTGGGTCGCCATCTTGAGGTTGGTTTTGAAGGATTTTGGCTAAATCCTGTTTATAAGCCTCTACATTAAAATGTTTGAATTGGTGAGTATTTATTATTTTAGGCTGTTTGTGGGGGATAGATATTTTTCGATGAATGTAAATCAAACTATGGTCACTCATACCAACATGATTAACACCAGATTTAATTATAGTTTCAGGCCGATTACTAAAAGCCAAATCAATAAGTGTTTGAGATTGACTAGTAATTCGTGTTGGTTCTTTAATGAGTTGTTCAAGCTGAAACATGCTGGCCAAATCAAATAGTTTTTTAGTTTCACTTTTTTCTGGAGACAACCAATCACAATTGAAATCACCAATACAAATAATTTCCTTATTTTCATGATCCATTTTTTGGATAATCAATTTGTAATCTATAAATATATTTACCGGCATATTTGGAGGCCTGTACCATGTACTTAAAAGAAACGGTTTTGCCTTTGGTTTGGTAATTTCAACCTTGATTGTCTCTAAATTTTCTGGCATGATATCAGATCTGATTTTATGATTGATTGTGTTTTGAATAAACATCACTACCCCGCTGCCATGTCGGTCTCTATCTTTACGAATTAGGTTGTATCCGTCTAAGTCTATCTCATGGTTATTGACACTATTGTCTAGCTATGTTTCATTTATGCATATAACATCATATTCATGTTTAAGAACATACATCCTAAATTCGTCAATATTATTAAGAATACTTCTAATGTTAAGTTGAGCTATTTTAAAGCCCTTATTTAAACATTTCCTAGTTACACTAGCCTTACTTGTCTTATTGCCTGATAATTCATTAGTTTTACCCCTTATATTATCATTTGGTGAATGAGAAGGAGAACATATAACCTTGTGTCAATTTCGGGACAGACTCGCAAAATCATGCATACTTTGTATTAAAATAATTAACAAGGTTTTTAGCCATCACACTTGTACCAAATCTATTTAAGTGTAATCCATAGGGATTTAAATGTTTGTCTTTGATGTTTTTGTGCTCAATGTAATCACAGTTATGTTGTTTGCATGCTTTAGCTAACATTATATTTACCTTCTTTACTTTTTGTGTATACTCAATTTTGTCATTTCTGTAACAGCTCTGATACAATCACGGTTGTTTTTGGGCTTTCCTTCTTGATAACCACAATTTCTTCTGGCTGCTTATCTTGTATGTCATTTGTACCAACATGTAACACAATTTGGTCCAGCTGCTTGACTAAGCATGGCGAACCTGCTAACGGAAAGTGATGTGAGCGAAATATAAAGTAACACGAGTGTTAATTTTCGCAAAGTACTGTACGATGCAGTATGATCGGTTGAAGGAATGATTCCTTGAATAATTCCTTAAGTTTAACAGGGTTCGTAGCAGTCTTTGAAATCCTTGAAAGTCTTTAAATTTAAATGCAGGTCTTTAAGGTCTTTGAAAAGTCTTTGAATTGTGTGAAAAAGCGAAGAAAGTCTTTAAAAGTCTTTAAAATTTAAAATACCCTAGCAAGTGAGTCCTGTTTCATACGTCCTACTGTGACTGGTGGACAAACAAGGATGGCGTCGCTAGATTATACATATGAACATATCAGCCTGGTGAGTATTTTAAACGACACCAGAAAATAAAAAGTATAAGCAAGCAGAGGCAGAGAACGAAACTTTGCCTTTCGACGAGAACGCTGCGAATGATGTAGTTTCGATAACGAAGTCAAAGACGGCGAAAAGGAAGCAAAATTCCGGCGCATCCTCATCGACGTAAAAAATTCCCAAAATAAATGCTCTTGGTCAGCTTAACATGTCGAAAAACGGTTGGACTATATCAAGGAATACATTACGCAATGCGAGTAACAGACCACAACATTGGAATGCAGCAAGCAAAGGCCCAATAAATGGCATTACACAACTTGCCAACAGACGGCTTAGCGACGGTAGGGTTACCCTATCGGGCAACATAGCCCTAGCAGTAGGGTTACCCTACCTCATGTAAACGCTCACTAGGGTAAC